ACGAAAGCTTTAAATCGAAATTTAACCGCCTCTACGGAGAGGGATTCCACACATCCTTAAGATCATTCAACAGACTTCGGGATAAGAAGGCTCAACTAATCGAGTCTCTCACCTTTCTGAAGAGATGCCGCGACTCTAAGGTAATACCTGAACGTGGCTCTCTCACTCCAGCGCTGTCCTACCAGACAGTCTCGCCCCCTTCACCTGATGAAGGCCGCTTGTGTTGTGGCCGAAACGTCATGAGAATATTATTGTGTTATTTATTATTTTATTCTCATTCTACGTGACTTTACCGAAAGAACCAAAGAAGATGAATCATTGCAGTCACGAAAGCTTTAAATCGAAATTTAACCGCCTCTACGGGGAGGGATTCCACACATCCTTAAGATCATTCAACAGACTTCGGGATAAGAAGGCTCAACTAATCGAGTCTCTCACCTTTCTGAAGAGATGCCGCGACTCTAAGGTAATACCTGAACGTGGCTCTCTCACTCCAGCGCTGTCCTACCAGACAGTCTCGCCCCCTTCACCTGATGAAGGCCGCTTGTGTTGTGGCCGAAACGTCGTGAGAATATTATTGTGTTATTTATTATTTTATTCTCATTCTACGTGACTTTACCGAAAGAACCAAAGAAGATGAATCATTGCAGTCACGAAAGCTTTAAATCGAAATTTAACCGCCTCTACGGGGAGGGATTCCACACATCCTTAAGATCATTCAACAGACTTCGGGATAAGAAGGCTCAACTAATCGAGTCTCTCACCTTTCTGAAGAGATGCCGCGACTCTAAGGTAATACCTGAACGTGGCTCTCTCACTCCAGCGCTGTCCTACCAGACAGTCTCGCCCCCTTCACCTGATGAAGGCCGCTTGTGTTGTGGCCGAAACGTCGTGAGAATATTATTGTGTTATTTATTATTTTATTTTCCTTCTACGTGACTTTACCGAAAGAACCAAAGAAGATGAATCATTGCAGTCACGAAAGCTTTAAATCGAAATTTATGATACTGTTCGTTTTTGTAACGAGGCAGTTTTTGGGGAGATCTCTTGTAATTTTAGTGTAGCTACCATCATTAAGTAGGTCCTGAATTTTGTTATTTTACACATTTTTATCCATGATGACCGTGGCATTGCCCTTGTCGGCTGAGATGATGACGATATCTTCCCTCTCAATGTATCTCCGACCATGAACACCTAACCAGTGAACTCAAACACGTACACCAAGCTCTCAAGGCGAATGTATATTCTGACTACACAATCTGAAAAGCCATCACCCCAACCATGAGGAAAGAGCCATCTGAAGATCCAATCAAAACCATCACCTTGCCTTACATAGCAGGGATAACCAAAAATATTTCCAATATCTTGAACAAACACAAGATCTAGGTCCGATTTAACACTGCATAAAATTCATGATCTGATCCCATCTGTGAAGGACAAGATTCCTGACATGCAATATCCCGGCGTCTACAAACTAAGCTGTATCTGTGACAGCAGTAACATTGGGGAAACTAAACATGTCTCGGACCGTCTTCATGAACATAAGGCAGATCTGAAACACAGCAGGGCCAATACTTCTGCCGTGGCTGATTATTATTTTAATGCGGCTGAGTCACATGAAATAGATTTCTTGAAGACGATGGAACTTTGCAAGCCGACTGGCTATCAACAAAGATTCGTTCACGAAGCCATCCATATATACAGACAGACACAATTTCAACTGAGACGACGGTTTTAAACTCAGAAATCATTGGAAAGATGTCATCAACCACTTTGGGTCATGACTTGATTTGTGTTTTCTTGTCAAGCTCTACCGTCAGCAGTGTGGATGGGTGTATCGAGGTGCAATGCCCCCCCCCCCCCCATCTCTACCCCCCTCTCTCCAACCTATCTCTCCATATCTACCCTCTTCTTCCCCCCATTGTCTAACACATTGGACTGCGCCCTCGCCTTCAGCTCCACCTCTATTTCTACCCCACCCTCTATCTCCTCCCTGTCTCTGCCCCCTTCCTCCCCCCATTGTCTAACGCACTACTTGTACCCCCCTCTCTCTCCCTATCTCTACCCCCCCCTCTCTCTCCCCCTATCTCTACCCTCTTCCTCCCCCATTGTCTAACACACTTGGACTACGCCCTCACCTTCAGCTCCACCTCTATCTCTACCCCACCCTCTCTTTCCCCCCTGTCTCTGCCCCCTCCTCCCCCCATTGTCTAACGCACTCCTTGTTTTTGTGGTGCTTTGTCCCTACATTGGCACTGGCTGCCCCACCCATGCTGTTTACAAAGCTCAACTTTGCTCACTTTGAAAGCCCTTATAAGCAGTTGGATTTAGAGGTTTGCCACCTCTTTTCTCTCTGCCTGATGAAGACCACTTGCATTGCGATCGAAACGTCGTGGATATTTTTTGCTTTCATTTTTAATTTCTTTCTATTTTATTTTATATTGCCAGGTAAGGCGCACTGAGCTATTAGCTACGTTTTCCGAAGCGACCTGGCCATCACAAATGATAGCTCAACGAAGTGGCCTCTCATCACGTGGACATTGATAGCAGCCGAATACTCTAAACGCGTCACGTTGATTCGAAACGTGGAGGGAAAACCCAGAGGGCCCCGAGAGAAATCCACGCGACCATGGCGAGAGACAAGCAAACTCCAAATACACAGCAGGGGTCAGGGTCGGGATCGAATCCACTACCTCCTGCAATATCAGGCGAGGTAGTCAACATCACCTAGCCACTGTGATGATGAGAGAAGAGAGACGCAGACTCCAAATATACAACAGCCATCGGGGTCGGGATCGAACCCACGACCTCCTGCAATACCAGGCGAGGTAGTCAACATCACCTACAGTGAGGGAAAAAAGTATTTGATCCCCTGCTGATTTTGTACGTTTGCCCACTGACAAAGAAATGATCAGCCTATAATTTTAATGGTAGGTTTATTTGAACAGTGAGAGAGAATAACAACAAAAAATCCAGAAAAACGCATGTCAAAAATGTTATAAATTGATTTGCATTTTAATGAGGGAAATAAGTATTTGATCCCCTCTCAATCAAAAGGATTTCTGGCTCCCAGGTGTCTTTAATACAGGTAATGAGCTGAGATTAGGAGCACACTCTTAAAGGAAGTGCTCCTAATCTCAGCTTGTTACCTGTATAAAAGACACCTGTCCACAGAAGCAATCAATCAGATTCCAAACCCTCCACCATGGCCAAGACCAAAGAGCTCTCCAAGGATGTCAGGGACAAGATTGTAGACCTACACAAGGCTGGAATGGGCTATAAGACCATTGCCAAGCAGCTTAGTGAGAAGGTGACAACAGTTGGTGCGATTATTCGCAAATGGAAGAAACACAAAATAACTGTCAATATCCCTCGGCCTGGGGCTCCATGCAAGATCTCACCTCGTGGAGTTGCAATTATCATGAGAACGGTGAGGAATCAGCCCAGAACTACACGGGAGGATCTTGTCAATGATCTCAAGGCAGCTGGGACCATAGTCACCAAGAAAACAATTGGTAACACACTACACCGTGAAGGACTTAAATCCTGCAGCGCCCGCAAGGTCCCCCTGCTCAAGAAAGCACATATACATACCCGTCTGAAGTTTGCCAATGAACATCTGAATGATTCAGAGGACAACTGGGTGAAAGTGTTGTGGTCAGATGAGACCAAAATGGAGCTCTTTAGCATCAACTCAACTCGTCGTGTTTGGAGGAGGATTGCTGCCTATGACCCCAAGAACACCATCCCCACCGTCAAACATGGAGTTGGAAACATTATGCTTTGGGGGTGTTTTTCTGCTAAGGGGACAGGACAACTTCACCGCATCAAAGGGACGATAGACGGGGCCATGTACCGCCAAATCTTGAGTGAGGACCTCCTTTCCTCAGCCAGGGCATTGAAAATGGGTCGTGGATGGGTATTCCAGCATGACAATGACCCAAACACACGGCCAAGGCAACAAAGGAGTGGCTCAAGAAGAAGCACATTAAGGTCCTGGAGTGGCCTAGCAAGTCTCCATACCTTAATCCCATAGAAAATCTATGGAGGGAGCTGAAGGTTCGAGTTGCCAAACGTCAGCCTCGAAACCTTAATGACTTGGAGAAGATCTGCAAAGAGGAGTGGGACAAAATCCCTCCTGCGATGTGTGCAAACCTGGTGGCCAACTACAAGAAACGTCTGACCTCTGTGATTGTCAATAAAGGTTTTGCCACCAAGTACTAAGTCATATTTTGCAGAAGGGTCAAATACTTATTTCCCTCATTCAAATGCAAATCAATTCATAACATTTTTGACATAAGTTTTTCTGGATTTTGTTGTTGTTATTCTGTCTCTCACTCTTCAAATAATCCTACCATTAAAATTATAGACTGATAATTTCTTTGTCAGTGGGAAAACGTACAAAATCAGCAGGGGATCAAATACTTTTTTCCCTCACTGTAGCCTCTGCGATGATGAGAGAAGAGAGACGCAAACTCCAAATATAGAGCAGGAGCCGGGATCGAAATCACGACCTCCTGCATACCAGGCGAGATAGTTAACATCTCCTAGCCACCGCGGTGCCACCTAAACCTCTCCCGTATCCTCTCCCTTAATATGCCCCTCCACCTCCACGCATATAACATTATCACAAGTTTCCCATTTTACTCCATAACCTCATCTCCATCCCTTTGTCCAACCCATCTCTGGCCTTGCCCTCCCACTTGGGTTTTCTTCCCCTCAACAGGTACAGGGGGTGGCCGCCGCATTAAGCGCAATGCTGTGAGGGAGGCACGCTCGCATGAAAGGAAGGGAGGAGGTTAAGCCCGTTCAAGGTTTAAACCATGGTGGGTTTTACTCCCCAACATACAACCTGTTAGTGCTCAACTAAATAACTCACTGGTTACGTTTTGTTTTACCTTACCCAGCGAACCGAATTCGATTCCCGCTCATGGCCCAACGCCAGTGTGACGATTATCCGAAATCGGTCCTGGTCGACTCAGTCTCAAATGAATACCCGGTGTGGTGTGTGAACATTACCCCTGGGGGAGACAACGGCGGCTGGGCGTGGTGTCGCTAACAGCACTTGCCCCAACCGTATGTTCAGCCTATACGGGGAGTTCTTTGTCTTTGGAGTCGAATGTACGCATCGCTTCAGTGGAGGTTTCTTTCAGAGGCGTTGTGCTGTCGATGACAAAGCTCAGTCCAAACCCGCGTGGTTTCGTGTTCGGTTTTTGATGGTGGTTTGGAGGAGTGCTGTGGAGCGAAGTGATGCGTTGTTAAAATGTTGCCAAACTTAGACATCGATCTGCTGTGGTAAATAAATACATTGAATAAACTTGGGAGAAATCACAAAGAGTGTTTTATTTGTGAGAAACGTTTATTTACAAAAGTGTGTTTAATAAGGAATCATTTCCCCTCAGAAAGCGGAGGTCAATTTTAATTCGTGGTCAATTAATGGAATTATTACACCAAAAAGGAACATTTACTCACTGAAGAAACACAGAAGCTGTGCAAACCTACAACACATGATAACTGTTTATCCTTATCCGACGTTATTCCTTACATTTGTAAGGGTCGATGTGCGTGCAACGTTGTTGGTGATAACCGCCACCGACTAGGCGCTAGTACCATCGTACATATGGGGTTGCATTCTCGACAGCGTTATTTCTTTCATATGAGATATGAGTTTTTCATTGGGGTATAGGTAATAGTGACGATAATAATAATACAGATGGTAAACATTGTTTCACAGATATTAAAAAAATTATAATAACATCGGTATTATGTACTGTACTCTTGAGTTCATTCTACTATACTCCTGCAATGCAGAGGTGGGAGACGAGGTTGGAGCTGCTGCGCTCGCAATCCGGGTATTAGTGATGCCCTCAGTCTATATTTCTGCAGTGAGGTTACTTTCAGGTGGCCCTTGAGACTCTTTCCTGGTCTCGTGAGTTCTTACCTGGCTAAACGTACGGTAATAACCACACACCTGAGATTTTGACATAACTTAACTCATGGATTGTCCCTTAAGCCAAAATTAATTATCTAAAACAGTTATACATTGTTATTCTTGTTTATTACAAGTCACGTGCTTTAACCGAGTAAATATATGCTCCAGTTAATCCGAAATCCACGTGATCGCTCTTTAGTACAGTAGTTGCATATCTCTACAACAGTGGGCAGAGTTTAATTGATTTTGATTGGCATGGCTCTGCTATCCACTATAGTGGGCCGAGTCTTCTGTACGGGAGTACGAAAGTGTTATTATCACTGAGCACGCCAGATGATGCGAGTTGTAATTACTGGCGAAACATCACTGTACACTCGAATTCTAAATGTTGCGGGTTTACTCTCCAACACACCGGTGTGCTGTACTAGTAAAGAATTGATGTTTTTTTTACACGACAAATCTTACTAATTGGCTATTTCAGGTGGTGGCGGGTTTAACAACGCATTTATATTTACATGATTAAACCCAAAACCTCTATAATGGACCCCTATCACACCTGTAACCCCTGTCGTTGATCCAACCCCAATCACTATCTCAACCTCTATAACTACCCCTCGCCCTATCACTACCCCTATCACCACCCCAACCCCCTATCACCTCCCCAACCCCTACCACTACCCCTCCTTAACAACTCCCGCTGTCACTATTACTACACCACCACTTTTAATAACAATCCTCAACTCTTTATTTCAACGGCTGTCATCTCAAATATAATTTTACAATCGTAAAGCACCTTGGAATAAGGCGCTCTACACATATATAACATAAGGTTTCAGGATGTTTTGCTTTTTCCAGCATGTCTGTGGCCCACGTACATTGCTGTGATGTGCCAGCTCCTGGCACCTTTATATCTAACAGCCCATTGCCTTACAACACCTGGATTGAACTCGTGGTCACCTGTCCCAATACTCATTTAGTGCCTAGCTCCTGAGATCCAACTTGATTGGGAGCATTCAGGGTGCTTTAATCACCGTACCTAAAGGGTACTCGGATTGGACACCTAAGGCAACAGTGATGCTATTGCTAAGTGGTAAATGTGCTGACTAGAGCAGTTTAAACGTGTTTCCCTATTTTATTTTACTTGGTAAGGCCCCACTGAATTACGTAACTCTTTTTCAGAAACATGGTCACAAATTATATCTCAACGAAAGTGGCTTATCATCACGTGAAAAAATATAGTAGCGAAATACTACTAAACATATGTTGATTCAAAAATTTGAAGGCTAAAAATCGGAGGACCCAGAGAACAATCCACACGACCACGGGGAGAACATTTAAAATCCAAATATACAGCAGGCGTTATGAGTGGGATTGAACCCACGACCTCCTGCATACCAGGCAAGGTAGTTAATATCTCACCAACTGCTTAATATTATCTACGTACAGCGTGAAAAAAAAACAACATACTGAGCAAATTAAACCCCTACTACTACCAAGCAAAATCTAAAAATAAACAAATTAAGAAATGTAAAAAAAACGAAAAAGCACATACAACAAAAAAATTATCACAATAAACTCCTTAAAACAATATCTATATTTTACCAGCTAAGGCCCACTGAGCTATAACTAATTTTCAAAAGCGACCTACATATCCCAAATGATAGCGCAACAAAGTCACATATCATCACGTGGGAATTTATGGCAGCCGAATAATCTAAATGCACGTTTCTAATTGTAGAGGGGAAAAAACGGGGCGCCCGTGGAAAAATCCACGCAGCCATGGGAAGAATGTGCATCTCACCACCATGTCTTGCACAAGGAAGCGATAACGAGGTGTGGTTGGCATCAGTGACTTGGCGGGGATGATCTGAAACTCACAAAGTCTGCATGAGACTGCTTACCAACTCAACATAACTTACAGTGTAACTTTCCAAGCATGCCGCGACCCAACAGAGTTACATTATACCCACGCAAAGTTCCCTTGATGTTTACTCTGCATCATTCAAAGCTCGTTTAGATTGAATGAACACAACAATAATGATACTGCTGCTGTTGTCGCTGCAAAGTCGTCAGGTTGAGTCTTCGACAAACGTCCACACGACAATGTCACTGGCAGGCGTGATGGCTCAAACAATCTGTTTCCATGACTACAGGCAACAAGCTTCCACCTGCACGAGTGTTCGAGGTCTCTGTTCCCGCTCGCTGTGAGCCAAACCCGGGTTTTTTTTATATTCACATGCATTCACCTAACCTAATTTATATTTACATAGAGCGCTTTCACTCAAAGCATTGATATACAGTCGTCTCTCGGTTAACGTTTTCAATCTGTTCCACGAAAACTACTGTTAACCAAATAACTGTTCATCGAATTCACTTATGAGCTGAAAAATTGAAAAAAAAATCACTGCGTCTGCTAGAGCTGTTTCCACTGCCAAAACAGAGAACGTAATGTGAACAAAGCCAGTCGAGGTCTAAACGCTCATAAATGGGTGTCACTGATTGGGTGAGAGCATGGCTCAATCTCACTTGCGAGCGCTCGGATTGGCCGAAATTGGTGCCTGCATGCAAAACGTAAACATACCATTATATAAAAATTTGTAACGTTAGTGGAAACTATGAGGGCCCTATGGGAGGCGAAAAACAATTAATCGAGGAACTACTGTAGTTTACAAATCGATCACAGAATGGAATGATGTATTTGACAGCGGGCGTGCTACAAGGATTGAGTAATGAGTGACAGCCAAAGAGGGGTACTTGGGGATCACAAAAGGGGTATAGGGGAGGGATGGGAAGGAGTGCAGGGGCGTGGGGAGTGAAGAAGATGAAGGGAATGAGCGATGGAGAAGCGGCGAGCCTATAAGAGAGGAACGGAAGGGGGTTAAGAATAGTGTCTCTGCTTAATGTACAGGGGAAGTTTATTCGAGTGGAGCAGTGCAAGGAGGGAGGACTAAAAAATAGAATTGAGAGACAGACAGAAGATTGGGAACAAACAGGCCAAGAGGGGGGACACGGAAGGAGACAGGAGCGGCAATGGTGTAAATAAAGATTCCCTTACAAGTGACAAATGTGACCCGAGTGCTCTCTGTAAAGATCCCTCTCTCATACCCAAACTAGTGCAGTCACGTACAGTTTAGTGACAACTCTTTAGCACACACCAAAAGGGTGTTTAGAGTCCGATTCGAACCTCAGCACAGAGGTTCCCCCCCACCTGCATCTCAACAGCATCATGAACACAACGCAGGTCCCCCAACAAAGGCCGCAGGCAGGGCCCATGGTGTTGGTGGGGGAACCTCTCTTAGCTCAGCTCAGCAGAGCGGTCATCATCGATGGCATCGAGGGTGCGCCTCACGGCACGCTCGATGTCCCCCGCGTATCTGAGCAGGTTCATGTCACGTGTGAGCTCAGCATGGCTTGGGAAGTCCCACTCCTTCCGCCAGCGCTTGTAGTGCTGCACCGTGGCCTGCGAGTCCGGCACCCGCCTGAGACCGTGGCCCGGCCTGAACGCCAGCACGCGGTGCACGTCGTGGAACTCGATGCCACGGGGCTGCAGCAGCACCTTGGAGGCCACGTCGCCGGGTGGGTACATCACCTTGTCCACGTGGTCCAGGATGTTGGTGCCATTCACCCGAAGGCCCGAGCTTGAGACCCGCGTCGCCGTCTCTGCCACCGGGAAGTTGTGCATGCGGAAGTAGTAGGCGGACACACCGTGCTCTGCCAGGGCCTCCATCATTTTGAGCCAGTTGGGCCAGTCCCTGGGGATGATGATCTCATCCAGGTCATGCATGGCCAAGTACCGCGCCCGGTACATGTTCCTGTACAGGCAGTCGTTCAGGGTGGCGATCTGCCCGTAGTATTGCAGGTCACCCGGGTTCACATTGATGTCCCAGCCAGTGGACGGTTTCAGGAAGTCGGTGATTGGCCACTGCTGCACGTCCATGAAGCCCGAGCGTGTGTAGTGCCGCAGCAGCGCGTCCACCTGCGGGCTCACGCTCGTGTTGTAGACGGTGACGAAGCCGGCGCCCAACAGGCGGTATAACTCCATATTCTGCACGAGGAGCAGCGAATCGCTGAAGCCGCCGAAGAGGGTGGGGAGGCAGACCCCAAAGTGGTGCCGAGGCGGGGAGGGCTCCCGGTTCTGCACCGGCATCAGCACCGAAGAGAAGGTGGAGGAAGGAGACGAGGCGCCACCTTCCTCGTCCATCACCAACGCCACATGGCTCGGGAGGGCCTCCCCCTTGGGCACACGGCACAGGAAGTTGAAGACTGCGAACTCAAAGTTGTAATGGTTGCTCAGCATTTTTGGTGTGGCGGCCACGCAGAGGGCGCGCCTGGGCTCAGCATCACCGTAGAACATCCTGCAGCTCGCCTTCTCACACGACCGCCGCCACCACTGCGGCCACCACCATGGCCATGACCACTGCCATGGCCACGGCCACGGCGGGCCACGGGGAGCGAGGGCGAAGACACGGAGCAGGGGCTGCCCATCGTCGCGCGTGTCCAGATACGCCGAGAAGGCGAAGACGCGCGATGTGCCCACCTTGTGTAGCCGCACATCAGCTCGAGCGTGCCCCCCCATCGGGGCAGGGCTGAGGAGGCCACGGGGTGGCGGAGTCAAGGAGGCCATGAGGGGGCGGGGCAAAAGCAGTGGGGGGGCGGAGCCAAGGATGAGCACCACCAGGACGGCCATGGCCAGAACAAGCAGCAATACGGGGAACAGCATCCTCTTGTGGCCATGGATCACGCGCATGGTGACCAGCTTGGTCATTGCGATCCCGAGTTTTAGTTTTCTCGCAGTGCGTTGCATCGGGCGACAGTTTGCGGGAGTGCAGTCTGTTATTTCGCAAAAGACAACACAGCAATTACCACCATTCTCATCATCGTCATCATTATGCCTTCATATAAATACATAGTGTAGATACATTTTATAGGGCTAATAGGGATATTCTCTGGGTCTAACACTGGTGAGACAAGGCCATAAAAAAGTATGTCTCTAGTGTAGGCCAATCAGTTTCAAAGTCAATGCATAAATTTTCAGAGCATGTAAGTTTGCAATTTTTACCACAAGCACGTGTGGTTAATGCAGACTCGATGCTGTGTAATAGGTATGTCTATTTGGCGTTTGAACATTTTAACACCTCTATTATTTCCGGAAAAGGGTCAATTCAACTACGTATTACCCTGAAGGTGAGGCGTTTAGTCAGTCCTTATGGCTGAACGGTACTCATTCTGACCACGAGGTGGCAGCTTTCTTCTGCCACCTCAAACAGGAGGAGCATTTCTCTGGCTATCGCCTGACCAGGTTGGTTGTAACGTCAGGGACTCAAATTGTAAATGCAGCGTGTTTACTCTCCAACATACTGCTGTATGCCGAACTAGTAACTAATGACATTTAAGAATAGGTTTTACCCTTTCTGGAAACGAAACTGATGCGAAGATGTTCAAAAACCAAAGAGATACCTTTTTCAAGGCCTCATTTAACGACACATCTGAACGATATAACCTAATAAAACATTATTTGGGATAACATTGGTCGCAAAAGCCCTACTACTTCATGTAAAAAAAAGCTTCCGCTCCTTTTCCTGGTCTCATTGTTGTATACGGCCCCTTTTTCCACAATTAATATCCATAAGAATATTTACGGATGCATACACATAGATTTCTTTTTCCTTTCTTTCGTGACAAACAATATATATTTTTAATAATGAATAAAACCCGTAAGCCAGAAACACGAAAAACCAGATGTCGGTCATAAACAGGCCATATATATATAAAGAAATAATAAAACTCTCAAGGCGAGGATGTAACAGCTATCGGCGAAAATCTCCAGATGAACAAGAGTTTGATGGGCCCCTTAGGAAAGGTCCCTCCGAGGTCAGAACACCAAGAGAGTAGACACGAAGATGCCAACAGGGTAAATCGTATACAATTTTTTTTTGTTTCTTATTTGTTGGTAAAACAAAAATATATAATTAAAAGGCAACAACAAGAATAAGATAAAATTAGCGGTCCTAACGCTCACTCCAATTAAGACCAGGCCACCAGATACATCAGTAAATTATTATCCGATAATTAATTCGCTATCAAATGATTTTCACCTTTAATACTTTGACTGTTAAAACAAAGCTTGGAGACAAATACCGAGTCACATCAAAGGTTTTCGAGAAGGAATGAGACAATGGGCAAACTTGCGAAACAGTTTAAACAATATCCCAAGCAACCCCGACCACCTTTGTCTCTCTCGCAACGCGGAGAAGCAGGAATTACACCTTATCACAAGGGGCCATCTGGAAAAGCCAGCCGGGTTTGATGAGGAGACACACCCCAACCCACACACGGCAACCAGGCAAACAAAGTTTTAAAGAAATTGCAATATAACATTAATAATAACGTGTTCACCTTACACGACATTCCATTATAGAACCTTACAGAACCAAGGGATATGGATTCCAACAATCAAGAAACGGACCTCTTAAACTCAGGATGAAAATTATTTTTCTTTGTAATAATTCCATCATAACAATTCGAACCTCGGTAAACCGAGAGGTGTCGGGAGGATGTAATTACAAACACGAGTCTTGGCGAACATGGGACCAAATGGTATTTGAGAAATATAAGTCGAAAGTATAAAGAGATAGGTGCTCCCGACCACCTTTGTCTCTCCCTGCAGCACGTGATAAAATGCATACGCTCGGAAGAGCATCTTCACTTGGAAATAAATCAAATACTATGAATCACAAGCAGGATCATAACTGTGTATGATAAGATACCAACTGTGATGTGAAATGTTAAACTTTAAAAATCTTAACCATTTCCTTGTGCGTCGAAAACGTGTACGAAAAAGGGGGGGGGGGAACCCGCCCCTCTCTCTGGATGGATGGAGTAGACAACCAGACGCCTTCAAGATGAATCGAAGTGCCTGTTGCCTTGATGTTTATGGCTTGAGGAAAGACCCGAACAGAACCGTGTCATAAATGACACACACACAAACATACACACTGACACACGAACCCCCCCCACCACCCACACACGAACCCCCCCCCCCCACCGACATATGATCAGATCAAAGATAGCTGCGCCTCGTGAGGAGGAGCCGAGGAGAGAGATTTTTGGCATGAAAAGGAGCCGTTTCAGCATTGAAATCAACTCATCAGCCCTCGGGGCCAGCTCAACAGAAGAAGACTCATCTCAACTCAGCTCAACCGAAGAAGACTCATCTCAATTCATCTCAGCAGAAGACCCGCTCAACTCATCTCAGCAGAAGACCAGCCATCACCGACGCCGGAGACGCCTCTACAACTCGCCGAATTGGCGTGTGTCGCCGATTGGCGACCCGCTGCCGCTGTTAGCGGCCAGCGCCACCACGAGCGAATCGTGAGCCTGCAATCTACAACCGCCGACGACGGAGCACCAGCGTGCCAGCTGCTCGCAGACGCACTGCGCGCATTACCTACCATCCGCGTACAACCGCGCCGCTGCGGGCGTGCTTCTAACGCCATCTACCAGACGGTCATCGCAGCTACAACAACGTATCTACTCGTTCACCAACGTCCGTCGAGTCCGAACCAACTACTGAAAGAAGAATCAACTGATACGTATGATACACTGCCCCCCCCACTACACGACAAACCAGACGTCTGCTTGACGCAAAGAATCGATTCCGAACATTGGCCTACTCTTTCACCACTCATACCATTCAACACACACACACAGGTCATTAACAAAGCCTAAAACCTCAAGCCATTGAACCATCCGTGATTGTGGAAACATCGCAACGATCGAGTGAATAATCCATCGTTTTTAAGAGTGTTCGTAATTTTCCTCTGTAATATTGTGCTGGGGCTGTACTTCTAACCGCATAAATTACCAACTGACCCATTAACAAGGATTAATTCTTGGCACCTCACCACGGAGCGCCGCTCGCGGGGGTGAAGAGCGTGTTCAACCGGTTCCCTGTCAGGGGTCTGGCCACAATTAATTAAAAGATTGGCCCGAGATAAGGATCTCAAAAGGAAACATCGCCACCCATTGAGTCGCGTTGAGAAGTCGATTAGAAATACTTGAGTCGTTCGTTAATATTTTTCTTTCTACATAATCTTGCTGGTATCCACGAATGAAATAACGAATTCAAACGCATATTTGTGCCTCCAAGAATAATACTGGTTGGAGTGTCCTTTCAATGAGTAGCGTTGCATAATAATCAGTCATCCTATTGTTAACAACGTGACAATAATTGCATTAAGGGCCGCGCATGATCAATGACCGAATGCTGTGTTGTGTGACAATTCAAGTAACGAAGCATTGCGGCCATCGAGTGGTGTTGATAAGGCAATTAGAAGTATTTCAGTCGAACGCTTTAAATTCATAATCGTTATGAATCAATGAACGAACATCAACGTGGTACTGTGCTGACGATTTCAAGCATAATAACTTCGCATATCAGAATGTATTAAGGATTGGATACGAATCAAAGACCAAGTGCCGTATTGTGTAACAATTCAAGTATACGAGTTTGCATATAAAGTTAAGGTTTGATAGAATAGTTCGCATGTTTTTAATCTCTCTCTCAACAACCGATCGATTGCGTTACGCATCGGGAATTAACCACAGGTGCCGCTATCGAGGTGAAACAACGCAATCGTGATGGTATCATGTTAACGCTGTGTTGAAATTCCAAAATCCCGAGATTGAGTTTTCATATTATCCAAAAATTAAAGTTAGCTAGAAATAAAATTGATTAAAGCAGAAGGTTTGTGTGTGATTCTTCCTGAAATTCTGCATAATATTGTTCTGCGTATGAGATCTGAATCCTGGGGACCTATCATAAGCACACTATCACCACACAATCCATAACACACATAATTCGTAATGTTCAATCGAGAGTAATCGTATCCTTATCGATAATACGGAATTAAAGAGCAGAGTCGAATCGACTCTCTCTCATTCACGCTCACAACGCCTGCGTCACTGCATACGATTAATTGCGTCATTCCAATTCATAACACAATCCTAGTCACCGAGGCTCGACCTGATAATCCATAACGACCTGCATTATCCTAACCACGCCCACTCGCATAAATTAATACGATTATCTCTCGAATCAGCATAATTTATGCGCATAATTACATAATTTCGGATAAATTATGCACATTTAAAATTTCATTTAATTTTCATTATTTTCATCAATTTTCATAACACCTATATATATACAACATCATATTCCACAAACATTGAAGACGAGGTCAAGCACTGACACATACCGACGCCACACTGGGGCTTGCGCGTCCCCCCCACTGCTAGCACGACTAGCCACTGGCTTCGGAATGATGAAAAACAAGAAAAGGCTTTTTACCCTTTCTGGAAATAAAACAGGAAGTTTTAGGATGTCCAAACACTAAACAGATACCTTTTTGCAAGGCATCAAGTCTGCATTAACCACACATACTTGTGCTGTTGGTGTTCTCCGGTCTGACACTGGTGAGACAAGGCCATACAAAGTACGTCTCTGGTGTAGGCCAATCAGTTTCAAAGACAATGCATACATTATTATTAGAGCATGTTTGTTTGCATGTTTTTACCACAAGCATGTATGGTTAATGCAGACTTGATGCCTTGGCAAAACGGTATAATATTTGGTGTTTGAACATCTTAACACAACTCCTGTTTCATTGCCAGAAAGGGTAAAAACCTATTCTTATTTTTCATCATTTTTCATCATCAGACGCGACGTCTGTACAGCAAAGCCAACCGAAGATGTTGGGAAGATCTATCACCGAGGCACTTAAGCGGCGTCTCCAGCGTAATGGAGGCCGCATCGTTCGCATGCCATGACA